AATTCATCTTTTGTCCTTGCAGTTGGAACAGAAAGTAATTGCCAGTGAGATTTTCAAGGGTAAAAAAGACAATTACCCTCAGAGTGTTCCCAGACTCTTCATCAACACTCGACTGGGTGAGTAGGTGTTGCCAAGTTTAACAGGAGGAAGGAAGGGGGAGATTCATCTACTCTTTCTTGCTAGAAATTTCTTTCTGACCCCCACCTCTTTGGTTTTAATACAGGTAAGGAAGAGATACATAATAAAGTCCTTCAGGCTTTAGAAAATGAAGCACTTAAGGTGAGAGATGTATCCCAATACTTTTGTCAAGCTTCTAGAGTTATTCAGCAGAAGAGATTAGATTTCTGAGGAAAGTACAGCAAGAACTTTACATTGTATTAAGCTTGTAATACTTTGGAGGATAGTCTGTGGGAAAAGCTGATGGCTCAGAAAGAGGAGATTTGGGCAATTTAATTGTGTCAGTTAAGAAGTGAAGGGATTGCAGCTGGAGAGGAAGGGAGAAACCTGCAGAGACTGACATTGGGGGTTTGCAGGCCCCCAGCCCTGACAGCTGCAGCCCCCACGGCACTGCTGGGAACTGCTCGGGGTCAGCAAGGAAGTTCTGCCCCAGGGAATGGGACTCAAAAGAATGATCTCCTCCATTCCCAGCTTCCCAAGCACTGGGTTGTTCCTCCTGGGCGCTCTCTGGGCTGCAGGTGGTTCCCCAAGCTGTGTTTTGGCCCTGCTAACCCTTGTTTCAGTATGCAGTGCCTGTGGTCAAGTACGACCGGCGGGGGTACAAAGCCAGGCCGCGGCAGCTGCTGCTCACCCAGAGCGCTGCCATCGTCGTGGAGGAGTCCAGGATCAAACAGAGGATCGACTACACCAACCTCACAGGTGGGAATGGGCACGGAAACAGACTCCCTGCACTGCACTCAGTTCAGTAATGCTAATACAAGATCCAGTTTGTCGGTCCTGGACAAGAACAGAATCATCCGATCCTGGACAAGAACGGAATTGTCTGATCCTGACAAGCATTTCAAGTCTGTAATATCTTGAAATTGAGTTTTTCTGAAATTAAATTCCGTAAAATGTCACAGAAATTACTCAATTCATCTCCCCTAAGTAATTTCCCAATTGCACTGCCCCAGCACAGGGGAGTTGCACCATTATTGCACAGCAGCTGCCTGGGACACTGCTGCAGCTTTTGGCACTCGAAATATCCATCAGGGACTTGATCCTTTTGGAGAGGGAACTTGGTCAGAGAGGGAAAACTGCCAAGTCTGGTGCAGTGTGGTCATTATAGGCTTTGGCTGAAACTTCTCACTTCAGCCCCTTGCAGCCCCCTCAGCCTCTCTGCTGCCTTGTCAGTGCCCTCAGCTGTTGGGTCTCTGTGTGGGAACAGTTGCTGCATTCCTGGGAGAGGTGGTGGGACACTCCCAAGGTCCCAGCAGTGCTGGTGCCACATGGCCTCTCTCTCCCACAGGCATCTCTGTCAGCAGCCTGAGCGACAACTTGTTTGTGCTGCACGTGCACTGTGAGGACAACAAACAGAAGGTAGGGGGGCTCCTCCATCCCTCCTCCAGCCACCTCTGGAAAAGGTTTGAAAGGCACAGAGAGCAGATCCAGCTGGGAGGAGGGGAGGGCTCACACAGGTGACAGGGGTGTAACTGTGTGCCAGCTCTAAGGGCCCTTTCACTTCTATTTACTTGTGCTCACGGGTGGGGTTCCCCACTGGTGGTTCCCCAGCGGGGTCAGTGCTGTCCCTTGTCCCCATCAGTGGTACCTGGTGGATGAATTGACTGCCACAGGTGCAGTGTGACCCACTGAGAGCCTCACCAAGCCTGGTCCCCTTGGAGGATTGGTTTTCCTTTCTCACCTGTGACGGAGATGGCTCTGTCCCTGTTCATTCCAGTGCAGTGATTTTGGTGCAGTGACACCAAAGCCATGATCCTAAACCATGGTCTCTCCTCCCAGGGAGACGTTGTCCTGCAGAGTGACCACGTGATCGAGACCCTGACAAAAACAGCCATCCTGGCTGACAAAATCAACAATGTCAACATCAACCAGGGCAGGTGAGTGACACCAAGGCCCTCCCGGGGCCCCCCTTGGCTCTGCTTCAGCACTAAAGGGCTACAGGAACATTCCTGTACCCCCTCAAAATGCACCAAATACACCTTAACTAAGGCTCCATTTCCTTGAACATACAGATCTGTTGCAGCAAAGCATCAATACAAAGCAGCCACTTACCATTTTTTGTGTGCACTCAGCAGAGCTGTTCTCACCTTTCTCTTCACAGCATAAAATTCACAGCGGGCCAAGGCAAAGAAGGGATCATCGACTTCATCTCGGGCTCAGAACTGCTCATAGCCAAAGCCAAGAACGGGCATCTAACAGTGGTGAGTAAGGGCTGGGCTTCACTTACACTGGATCCAAACCCGGATTTTGGCATGAAATCCTACCTGCACACCTGGGACCTGTGCCATGTGATGTTCTTGCCAACTGCACTGCCCTGGTCTCCCAGCCTTTCCCCCACTTGGAGCTGTGCTCTGTATTTCTGCAGCCCTGAGGGCCTGCCAGGTTTACTCAGGCTCAGCAAGTGACTGTCCTGGCACTCGCTTTGTATTTCCCCCCAATATTCAGGGCGTTAATACTTTACTCCAGAGCAAATCAAATTTTAAATACATTTAAAAGCACAGGTAGCAAAAAAAAAAAAAAAAAAAATCCTCTCCCTTTCTCAGCTTGTTTGTGGTTGTCCTGCCAGTCAGATACAGTCACACAGCTGATTTATGCACTGTCAGATTAAAGGTTATCCAGAGATAAATCCGGGACAAATCCACACTGCACTGACTCCCCTTCCAGTGTCAGAGCTGGGAGCTCCCATCAGGACCGCAGGCTGCTTGGAACAGCCTCAACTTGAAGATGTTTGGGAACTGAAGCTGTTGCAGCATTTCTGTTTTGAACACTTTCTAACTCATCCCTCTCCTGCAGGTTGCTCCCCGTTTGAATTCCCGATGATGATGAAACGTGTCCCTGTGCCAGGACCTTTCCCTCCATGGAATTGGCTGAACATTGTTCCCAGCAACCCCCCCTTCCTCAGCTTTGCTCTTTCTGTTTATCGTTACCAAAGACCTGCACTTTCAGAACCACCACAAAATACATCCTGCTTTGTCTTACTCTCAAAAGTCCCAAACAAAAGGCCTTCTCTTCTCTTCCTTTCCCAAGTGGCAAACACGGGGTCCAACGCAGCGGCCGCAGCTCGGGACATTCAGCTGGGCTTTGAGGGAGAGGGAGCTCTGACTCTGTTAACAGAGTTTAAGCCCCGATGGAAATGACCAAAATCTGTGCTTGTCGTCACCAAAAAGCACAGTCAGAAAACAAGTAACTCTGCTGCTTTCTCAGCCAAACCAATGAAATGCCAAACTTTGTATTCAGAATGTTTTATGAAGAATTTTGCTCTGAGATGTTTTAATGCTTTGTGTTACAATTTAGTGAAGCCATATTGTGTAAATGAGTAAAACCTGTAAATACTTTATAGCTGAGGATGAGATGCACTACGAGAGATGGAGTTGATGTGGAAACTTATGTAGATTTGGAATTTTTTTTGTTGTTTTTAGTTTATGGTTACAAGGTATTAACCTGAAAAACCCATCATGCAACTTCCTCACTGATCTGGATCCAGAGACTTTTACCTTTTTTTGAAGTCAGCTGTCCCATTTCTTGCTATTTTTATACCGTAGGAATTTTTCATATCCACACAAACACAGTCTAATACAAACTGCAGAGGTTACCACTGCTTTGTGTGTCTCCAGACTGGCCTGTAGTCCTTGGCCGTGGGATGGGCACAAGCTTTCCCTCCTGCCTGGGAGTCACCACTGCCCTTCCCCACCCAGCTCAGAGCAGCACGTTCAGGAAAAACAGCTTTTCCTCTTCTTTTTAGCGATAACTGGAAGTTTGAGTTCCCGCAGTATTTATGTCGATGCCTCAGTGCTGCCTTACGAGGGAGGGCTGGGTCAGCCCTGCTGCTGCTCCCCAGCTCCAGGGACACACTTGGAGCGCTCAGACCACAGCAGAGGTTCATCCTCAGCGCCTTCACTTTAAACCCAAACGGCCACAGGGTGCACAGCTCCGTGTGGGATTCCTGCTGCCTGCACACCACAGCTCCAGACCTCAGTGCATCCTGCACTCCACTTGCCTTAGGAATCCTTCCCATTCCACCTCTATCCTGACTCAGTAGCACAAACAGCTACAGCCAAGCCCTGACTGAGATCTAACCCAATGTGCTGCCCGTCGGCTCCTCCGCTCTGGTTCCTGACAGGATGCCACTGTCAGGCCTGGAATGCCGGATCCACTGGGGGCCATTCCCAGCCCTGTGCTGCAGTGTGTATATACAATGCTGTCTATGCTGGTCTATAACCCCTTCCAGACTACACCGAATAAATTTTTACAAAAAATCCAACACCCCTTGTCTCGGTTGTGGAAGTTTCCTCACCTGTTCTGCTGGGCAGGCTCTGCCCCAGCCCTGCTGCTCCTCTGGCTCTTGGGCCCATCTGTCTACACAGAGCAGTCCTGCTGCTGTCCAGGACAAGGCGCAGGTTATTCCTAGAGAAAAGTTTCTAGGACTTTGTTTTTCAGTCCTTTTCTAGGACTAGAATTTCCATCAGCTTAGCAGGATGGACAGCAAGATACACGATGGAGAAAAAGGAAACAGGGTAACTGGAATGGATGAGGAGTGCTGTAACAGCAGGTGAGTGGAAAGCACCAACCAGCTCCTGGGTTTTATACATTTAGGTAGGGAAAGGCTGGCTCAGGGTGTGCCCTGCAGGCTGTTCCCAGAGCTATTCCCACAGCAGCACAACTCCCACGTCAGACCAGCTCTTCCTTATCTCATGGCTGAAGAGAACAAGGCTGTCCCTGCTCGCTCTGTCTTCCCCCTCCAACTGTTCCTACCACGAGTAACAAAACAAACAAAAGTTACTCTTCCCAAAACAACTAAAACCTAAAAGAAAGCCATAATAATATTTGGCATTTTTAATTTAGGTTTGTTTTATTTAAGTTTAATGTTAATTCCATGCTGTGTTTCAGTAAGAACAATACAGATTCTGTATCTGTGGCTCCAGTCAGATATCCAGTAGTACAAATTAGCTTCAAGTTACACATACTGAACAAAAGAGGTTGAGCGAGCGAAGGGAGATGGGGAGAGGGGAGGGAGAAAGAAAAAATATTGAACACGCATGCAGGCTTATCAATGCCACCTTCAATGCTAACCTGCTTGGAGGGAGAGTAAAGAACAGGCAAGAATGAGCAGCCACGGATTGTTGAACTGTTACCAGCACCATGATTTTTCAGCAACATTTCAGCAGTTTGGAAACTTTTTGTTTTTATACAGTAAAACCACTACAATGTATGTCCCAATGCAACCTCGTAACTTCAAGCTAAATACCCAATTAAGTTGAAACATTGGTATAAAATTCAGTTTAAACAGTTATAAAAAGAAAAAAAAAAAAAAAAGGAAAGATGCCACCACGTGCACACTGCCTTGGCCAGGACAAATCTCTGCCTACGAGTCTAAGGGCCTTCAGGTGTCACCTCCAGGGCTGATGGCAATGTCACCACAGCTGGCAACACAATACAGTAATGCTGAAAGAGCCTTTATGCAGTCCTGTTAGTGTCTTAAAGAACCTAAAAGCTGGCACCAGTAAAATCCACAGAAATTCACTCTTGCCTTTAAGAACTTTTAAACTGTGTAAAAAAAATAAAAATAAAGAAACCCAACAGGGCAGGAACCTAAATTCTGAGACCCAATGTAAAAGTCAGATTTGGTGGTTCTCAGAGTGACACTGAGGGTTTTTGTGGGGAAAGGGAAGGGTGGTCAGAGATGGGTTCTCTTGTTGGCCTTTGTGTCTCACTGGTTTTCATCTTCCACATCCTGCAGCGCTTCTTTATTCTGTTCTTCACCTACAAAAGTGGGTAAAAGTAAGGAAAACGTTAACTTTCACAAAGGAGACCTGCAGAAAAGCTTAACAAGCATCAAGAGATTAATAGTTTCATGCAAGCACACACTCACTCTCACACCCAACACTGCCAGTTCGGGAGTGAAGCGTTTCCATCGAAATTAAGCCTGGTAATCACCTCCACACCTCACCCAGAACTGCAGCTCAGGCCATTAGAACAAGGACTGTGAGGACAAACAAAACCACCACTGCTGAAAACTGACACCACACAGGTGATCAGTCCTGCTGAGCAAGAGCTGGATCCACGAGAAATCATCAGAAGGGCTGTGGATCAACATCCTTGGATCGGGAAACACCTTCCCAAAACCCTCATCTTTACTCCAGAGAGCACCAGGGACACCTACTCACTCACCACAGAAATGAGACCTAAACAGGTTTTAGAAATTAGAACTTTTTTCTGCTCAAGTCCACTCAAGTCTCAACAACAGCAAAGTACTTTTACACAGTACCACTGATGGCAGGTTATTACCAAAGGTATGAAAAATGTCTCTACTTCAACATGACAAGAAATCTTAAATGAGGTTATTAAAGAAAAACATTTAATGGAAGTTAATTTCTCTTGAAAAACAGTCAGTTTGGGCATATTCAACCAGGCTGGGACATGCAGTGGGATGAGGTCTGTCCACAAGGACTCCTGTAGTTGAGGACACTCCAGCTGCCCCAGTGAGCCCCATGCAACACCCTCCACCCAGCTTGGCCAAAGTTCTAATGCAACAGGGAAAGTTTCAGGTACTTCAGCTGGTGCCACAACACATGCACAACTCAGTTAATTGATAAGAGAGAAAGTGTTTTCTTTAAACTTAATCACAAGAGGTAGTACTCTCTCAAGGGCAATAAACAGAAACTAGCAATTAAAAACTTGATTTGCAATAAAGTCTAATCAAATGAGACTAATGGCTTCCAGCAGATAACCAGGATGCCTGCTCAGAGCATGTCCAGATTCAGGATTACCACCAGGTACAACACAAGGTAGATTGTAGAGGAGGTGGCCTAGGAACACAGGACATCTGACATTCAACAACAATAAAATTTATAGACAATATTATGTGACAGATCATTTAAGAGAGGAAAGCACAGCCCTAACCCAGGAAGATGATTAAAAGATCTGAGCATGCTCTAACCAACGCACTGAAGCAAATACCCCTCGAACAGGCCATCGTGAAAGTACTTTTCAGGCCCAAATATTCTTAATGTCCAGCTCTGCAGCTCAGTTCCCAGAGGTGTGGGTTACTTTGGATCTCAGTCAAGCACAGGGGCCCCGGGCAGGTGCCAGCCCTGGAAGGGCAGCAGGGCCAGCGTTGTCAGAGCAGTGACAGAGGCAGGCACGGTTAGTGACACTGACACCGAGCACCTCGTGGAGCCACGACAGACACTTACAAAGTAGAGTTTTTAGGAAATGAACAGTTGGACTTTCCTTTAGGAATCTATACAGCAGGAAAGAAGGGGAGAACAGGAATCATATGGAGATGATGTTACAAGTGTGGAAATCAACTCAACACTCATCTATGCCATGGGAAAAGCTACAGGAAAGGGGATGGGGAGGGCAGCAGCTGGGAAAGGCCTGGTTTTACAGAGCCATTCCCTACGACCTGCACAGCTGAAATGGAAAGAGGGGAAAGCTCAAGGTGAAAGAAAAGCCCTTTTCAAGTCTCCCCCAGTCCTTGGGAAACTGGTAACTGTGCCACTACTGACTTTATCCTTCACAGGCTCTGCCCATTTAGGGAATATGGAGTTCTGGAAGCAGCAGTTTAAACACACTCACTGAGCATATTGGCCTGGCATGAGGACATGAGGGAACTTAACTTTGCACCCGTGTCTAAACATAAACACTTTTTTGAGGGATCTGAAGAATTACACCCCAATTTTAAGTAGTTCTGCAGTAATTTTGTAATCATCATCTTTCTGGCATACATTGTAACCAACAATGAGGATCTGAAATGTCTATTTTCTATGTTATGGAGCTAATTATGAAGCAAGAAATTCCAATCTATATTTCTTTTTGCAAAAATCTAAAGAGCCTTATAATAATGTTGTGGAACTTCTACAAAATAAGAGATCCATGAGACACATCACCCAGCTCACAGGCAAACTAAGAGCTTTTGGAAGATGTTCTAATGCTTCTGTCTCAAACAGTGACCCTGCCCTGATACTGCACTAAATGGTTCCACAGAGCACCAGGGTATTTGGCTCCACTAAAAATATGGTCATATCTTAATTGTGGGAATTTGAAACACATTTCTTTTTCCCAGTGCCTAACCACAGCAAGGAAGGCACCTAATACCTCCTGAGGTGTTTAGAGAAGAGTCTGTACAGATCCCTCCAGGATCCATCCAGATGAGATAACCCCACATCCTTGAAACAAGGCCTGTGCAAGAGCCTTAAGCACTGGGATGTGGAACAAATTAGGAGCCAAGATCCTACACATTTACAGTATTCCCAGTTCTGTCAACAGCCCAAAGAGCAGAGCCAGAAGCTACTGAGTAACAACACTTCAAACCCACGGGCCCTGCAGAAAAACAGGGAGTCAGGAGAGAGTTAAAAAATTCTGCACTGGCTTTCAGATGGACACTACACCAATGGGGTACCCCCAGGAATGCTGTGTGGCCACCACTGTGCTTCAAGTGACATCTCACCAAAAAATGTAAGACACTCCTGTATTTATATGAAGTTCAGCAGGGATGTTTCAAACCTCTGGGCATTTGTGGGTACCCAAAATAGTTTAAACAGGACTGATTTTTTTTTTCCCCCCATCCAAAGTAAAAGTAAAGAAAGTCAGCTTTTTCCACTTGTGTCTGCAGGACACGATTTTTGCAGAAGTAAACTTGAGTTTCATCTTTCTAGATAGAGATAATATTTAATTCATTACCAGTAATCAGTGAAACAGAAGGTGTAACTCAAAAAACCTAAAATGAGTAAATTTATACTCAGCATTGCAAGTGAAAGTGTAAGAGCTGAAAAAGCCCATTCAATATGCCCAAGAAACCCCACCCAAATTTAAATACTATCAAATCTTAGTAATCAGAAACAATCCATGCCTCACCCTCTGGTACTGTAGGGGACATATCTGGCATTTTCTCTGGCAATAGCCCACTTTGAGTCACAACCTGCCATTCTGGCAGTATTAAAGAAAGTACATTTCCCCAATCTCTTTTCTTTTTCCCATGGCAACAAAGTATTTTACAAAACCCTTCTTCTCTTTTCCTTGTACTTAATCCTTCATAAAAGATACAAAAGTGCCATAAGGTGAGTGATTAGTATAATGGCAGCAAATCATCCACTGAAATGCCAACAGAAATACAGAGTGACCTGGAAAAAGGGGGAAACCAGATCACCTGCAGTGGTTCCTCCTGCACTGGAAGTTCACATCTGGTTGGAATGACAACCAGAGATGAACATGACAAGGAAAGAAAAAAATGAATTAAATGAAGTCACTGCTTTTAGAACAAACACAGATGCCAGGTGGGGAGCCAGTGTCAGCCCTATCACCTCACCCAGTGTTAAGGCAGGACGGAAGTGCAGGAGGGTCAATTATGAGGGAAGACAGAAGTAAATCATCAAACCCATCTGCATTTCCACGCTCTGTGTCCTGGGCAGAGGTTGGGGGATGCAGCTTTCAGAGCAGGATTTACTCACCATCACCCTGCATGTCTGAAGTCCATAGTGTCAGGTTATCACGTAACAACTGCATGATAAGTGTAGAGTCCTTATAGCTTTCTTCACTCAGTGTATCCAGTTCTGCAATAGCATCATCAAAAGCTGCTTTTGCCAACCTGTAAGGGCAGAAGAAAATCAGAATTAACAAGTATTTCTAAACAGAATCCAGAAGCACAAGTTAACACAAGTTAAGCCTTTGCCTCAGCACACCCATCCTCTAGTCTGGCTGTGTGACATCCACAGCTCCTCCACAAATTCTGGTGTTGTTTAACAGTGTTTAGATGTTCATTCAAGTATCTGCCATGTTAAAAACCAGTCACCTTCTGTGCTTAAGAAACTTTTTATTCAAGCACATTGGTTTATTAAAAATTTCTGGATCCTGACAGAGGTCTGCTAAAAGCTCAAAGGAAGTGTAATACACAACCTGCAGTGACAGGAACAGAAGACAAACAGTATTTGTTTCAATTATCACTTTTGGGCTCAGATGAGCCAAAGCCCTACGGACAGGTGAGCCACTGTCACTCAATACACGCTCACAGGAATTAGTAGCAGGATCCCTCCTACCCTGTGCAATAGCCAACGGGAAGAGGGGTAAATTAAACCACCTCACACCTTTGGCAGATTAAGGGCATGCACAGAGTTAACCTGGCAAGCTGCTGAACTGCCATTAGCTGATCAAATCAAGGTTATCACTGTTCTGCTCCTCATACAACATCTACTCCCACACAACCACATGGGTCTGGACTCATAAGAAAGCCAGCCCAGTGTTCCCACTGAGGAAAAGCAGTTACCCAAGCAGCAGCTTCTGGCTTGTTTGGTATTCACACAACACTGCCCCATGTTCCCAGTCACCACATACCTGCAGGCACGATCAGGAGAATTAAGAATTTCATAGTAGAATACAGAGAAGTTGAGCGCAAGTCCTAAGCGGATGGGATGTGTTGGCGGGAGTTCTGTCATTGCAATATCACTAGCAGCTTTGTAAGCCACCAAGCTATTCTCTGCAGCTTCCTTCCTGTCATTTCCTGTGGCAAACTCAGCCAGATACCTATGGTAGTCCCCCTTCCTGAAAACAGAAGCAGCAGGAAGTCAGTAATCCTCATTTCCCCAGCAGACACTAAATTAACGGCTCCGTTCTGAGGCTGGTGTTTATGTATTCACACACCAAGGACCCGCTGCTGAATTACTGTCTAGACAACACTGTCTTAGGAGCTGAGGGAATTTTAAACCATCACTACATGACAGTTGTCTGTCTGCCTTGTTTTCTTCTCTTCAAGAGCAGAGCAGAAAACACTGAAGCAGGGATGTGATTTCTACATTAGTAGCTCAGTTAAAGGAAATTGCTGTTTCTTACATCTAAGAGCTGCACAACAGTTTACATTAAGTCCTCGTGGCATTATTCCAAACATCATCGTCTATCCCAAACCACACGATGAGGACATGGCAGTCAAGAAGGGATATTGGTTAGACACTGCACTGCCCTCTTTCTAGAAGGTACAGTGGCTGAGTGGGCAGAACACACATGTACAGCTCCTGCATTTGTCTCTATTCCAGGCCCAGGAAGAGGTCTTTTCCTCACAAGAACATACTTACATTTTGTAATAGAAAACCTTGGACTCGCCAGTGTTAGCTGCTGGAATGAGGTGTTTGTCCAGTACATCCAGAATGTCACAACAGATTAACTTCAGTTCAGTCTCAACCTAGTAATGCAAATAAAACCACAATTCACAATTAATTCATAATTAAAAGAGGGGGCAAGGTTAGCACATAAGACTAAGAGCTATTTCAAAAATATCAAATTGATAACATCATAAAGTTCCAAAGAGGAATTTCCAAAGGGAGAAAAATAAAATCCAGCTCCTCCACAGGTGCACTAAGCAAAACAGTTCTGCACAATTAGTTGGCACACACAAGAGGCAAGGACTGATGGATGATGAAATGTGTAACTCAAGGATGGAATTATGAATTCCCCAGAAGACATCTCGCTAGACTGCTGCATTAAGTTCGTCTCAGGATGTAATTCCTTACTGCAAGGCTTGCACAACTCAATTCCTTACATTTTTGATCCTGGAAGGCTGCTCCCAAAGTGGCAGCAGTGAAGGGGACAATTTGAGGGTAATTAACACAAATCAGCTAAACCCCATTAGAACCCAGAGTTAAATGGCACCTTCAGAACAGATTTCTAGTGACTACTTGGAGGGAAAGCTCTGACAGAAGAGCCTGAAGACAAAAATCATGGAGTATCAGAACAGAACAAAGATGTGCCAGCAAACAGGAAGGTCAGGTACAACATGAAAACAAACTCCAGAGGCAAATGAAAAAGATAAAGTGCAGCAACTCAGTGAAAAAGCAGAAACCATCGACTCTACCAGTGAGATCTGTGGCCAAAAAACCAGTATATAAAACCTTATTTAAAAACAGATGCTGGATTTTAATAGTCAGAATTGAAAATGTAGTCACATCACCTTCATTTTTTTCTAGTTTCGAATACAAAGCAAGGGCTGTATGAGGTTAGGTTTTACCACAGAGAGTTTCATACCTGAAAGCAAAGAAACCAAGCACACCCAAAAAAGCTGAAAACCATCCTGACATCAATATTGCCAAAACCTGAGCCTCCCATGTCATTCCAGTAGAAGTGGTTGGTTGAGTGCAGACAGACACCTATTGCTGCTTTCTCATGATTTCACAGTAACTTTCGTACCTGCAGCTGAAGACTGGCTCAAGCTGATTTCATATAAAGTAGAGATTTTTCAAATTACAAGAAACTATCAAAAACTGTATGTCTTGGCTCACAAGAGCAGCCCCACGGAGTCCACCATCCCTTCCTGTCCTCCCACCCAAGCAGTTTGCTTTCCTCCTTTAAGCATTTTTTTTGCCATGTAATACTTTTATCACCATTCAGCTCCCAGACTGTCAGGGCTTGTAACCACACCAGCTAAAAAGGTGTTACTAAAGAGGTGTTAAAATTACAGATCCAAAATAAACGCCAAACTGGCACATACACACACACAGGGATTTGTACGAAATAACAGATTTGCAGAAGTTCCTTTAGATAAATTAATCAACAGCAAATTTCATGTACAAACAATGTCAGAATGCCCTGACACTCAGAGGAACAATCAGATGCTATACTTAAGAGTTACGGGACAAAAGCTTAAGGAAGTTGCTGAAATATGGTCACTTGAGAAGAATCTACTTCATATATTCTTGGGCTACAATATAAAACCTTTGGCCAGCAGTCAGTTCCTGCAAACTTCTTTCCTCTTGATCCTCTTTTTCAATGACTTCTTTTGCAGAGAGATCTTCAGCAAAACTGCAAAGAATTAAATCAGTTTCTAATCCTCTTTAGTTAAATAACCATACATGTACAAACTTCTATTTCATCTCAGACAGAGCTTTTTTCAGCTTTGCCTAAAGGATCAGTCACACAAGTTATCAGAGATCAGCTCCTGTCCAGAGCAATGTAAATGTCCTCACCAAGCTTAGTTTAAAAAGATTTAATACAAATCAAGTTGATTAAGAACAAAACAAAACACACGCACAAAACCCTAAAAGCTCTGGTACAAAAAGGATCTGTTCTAGACAGAGTGGCTTAGCAAGCTCTGCAAAGCAGCAAACCAGCACAAGAGCCCACACTAAGCCTGTTCAGAGCATTCCTAACAGGCAGGTTTAGGGTCTATCACCATTCCAGCTCCAAATATGACATCTGGGATTACAGAATCTGACCAGCAAGGAAGGACTGCTCACCCCAGTGGGTGCACAGAAGCTGCCCCAATCCACGCTGCCTGTCTTTATGTCAGTGCCACTGCCAGCTCGATCAGATTCCAGGCTGTGTTCTCAACTCTGCAGACACAAAAGCTTCTAAAACACAGGTGATCAAAATAAAACAAGCAAACTTATTAATTGCCAAACCTTTCTAAGAGGAGGGCATGGAGGAGAGAGCCTGGCAGGTGCCCCAAAATACAACCCAGGCTTAAGTCAGAGCACTAGAAACAGCCATCTGCCACAAATCCAGGGCAGAAAGGGGAAGGTGAACACCTGTCCTACGCTATGGGAATGGATTTGGTTTGACTGCAAGGAAGTGAACTGCACTGTGTGCAGCCACACACCACTTCATGCTCTCAAGGATGAAGAACACAAGCCCCAGTGGAGGGACACATGGCTACAGATGTGTTTTGCTACATTTATCTGAAGTGGTTTGGGGAGAGGCAAAGCCTGGTGTCTTCCATCACCTCTCTGTTGCCTGGTTGATGCTTTATAAAAAGGCAGTCCAGCCCTGCCCTCTCAACACACCATCCCTTGAGCTCTGCCTCAAGTCAGGCTGGTTGGTAGCTCAAAAAAACCCTCCAAACATCAGCCATGAGCTAAGTTATAAATACTGATGGAGACCAAAGCCATTCACACTCTCCTTACAGCAGATGCCAATCCATAATAAGTTCTCCCAGCAGCTCCTAACAGAACATGGTCTTCAGCTACAGACAACACTCAGAAGCCTCTTGGAAAAACTCCCTCTGGAGCTGAGCAGACACAGCCAGTGTTTCTCCAGCACAGAACCACATGCCAGTTCTCACTGCACTCCTCCACCTCAGGCAGCTGTGAGAGCTGTTCCCTTTAAGGATTTAACAGCTGAAGACACTGTTGGCATGACTGCACTTCAGTGTGGCCTCTCTCTCCTGATGCCTCAAGGACTACAGACATCTATTTCTTGCACCCTAGTCCAGCATGGCCCTTGTCCTGTTTATAAAGAATAATGCCTATTTCTAAAGTCCTTTCAAAACAAAAAACCCCAAGTCTTTTCACCATTAAAAGATCTTTGGCAGAAGACAGAAACCACCCACAAAATCTTGTGCAAAAGAACCTGGAAGCACACAGTGTGAGACAAATTTAAACAATCATTAGACAGCTATTGTTTTATATGTTCTGTTAGAAAGATTGTAGACATCCATCAAGAAAAGGTATTTGGGACTGTATGTAACTGGCAGTCTCATTCTATCAACATGCCAGCATAAAATTAGAAACTCACAACTTTAACAATTCCATGGAGCAACAGAAACCCTGTGAGTCAACAGAAAGTAGTCCAGAGCCATTCCTGAGAGAAGATTTCCAAGCCAACATCATTTCCATTGGTGGTAAATGAATCAGTGCCAGGTGATATAATAGACTCCACTGTTTCTCTGGAAGTGAAGATGTGAAACACGTGGAGGCACTTGTCCTCAAATAATGGAGATTAAGTCTCTGCAGAAGTGTGTGGGATTTGAATAGTATGGGAGCATGCCTGCTCCATGCTAAACCATCACTTAGGGAAGGGGGGAAGGGGAAACAACAACTCCCTGTTCTAATAGCTGAAGGTTTCATTAGCCCTTACCAGTGGAAGCCAAAGCTTGCTCCAAGTTCTCCATTTTAGGTAAAGCTGCACACACTGACTAGTCACCATGAAGTTATGTGGATCAATTTTTCCCCCTCTCAAGAGAGAGAAAACAGCAAGGCCCTGGAGGTTGTTACACGTGCAAGTTTCACAGCTGAGATGACCAGGACATCTTAGCATCCACCACCCCCAGGAACACAGAGCAATAAGAGACAAGGTAAAGGAGCCAGGAACAGCACTGAAGATCCTTCCCCACTGGCCTTTCAACTGTCCGGATTTTGAACTTTGTAGGGCAGAGAACTGGAATTGCACAAAGTGGCATTGTATGATCCAAAGCAACTTTTATCAGAAGTGGAAGCTTAAGAGCCAAAGACCTCCTTTGACAGGGTTAATAAAAATAAATGGTGGTTGGGATAAGTCAGGTTGGAAAGAATAAGACCTCCTGAGTATGTGCAGCCTCACACTTGAGTAAGCAGGGAAGAGGAAGCACAGTTCATATTCTTGGCAGATCTGCTGATGCACTGAGGGAAAAGCCCTCCCTCTCTTCTTTGAGTCTACTGCCCTTTTGAGTGTTTACACAAAACCACCCAACCTCTCCCCTTCACCAAGGATATTTATTCTCCAGATAAGGAATAAACTCCAGCCTTTCAGGGCTGTCACCCTGTCACAGGTCACCACCCCACAGGCAATGGAACACCAGGGCAGTTCATGGCAAGGGTACCAAAGCTGGACCGTAACTCAGTGACCCGGCGCTGTCAGACCAACCCCATCTTACCATTTGCCGATATTCCCGAATCATTTTTAATTTGTCTTCTCCACCTTTGTTTTCTTCTTTCTGTTCAATGCTGCTGATTATTCTCCAGGAAGCTCTTCTGGCTCCGATCACGTTTTTATATGCAACAGAAAGCAGGTTCCTTTCTTCCACTGTCAACTCCACATCCATTCCAGCCACTTTCTTCATTGACTCAACCATTTCTAGGAGGAAGAGGTCAGGCAATTAATTCTCACAGCTGAAGCATCTTTCAAACCATTCAATACAAGTTGGATGTTAATGACAGCTCATGAAATTAGGTTTCCTCCTCCTTTCATCACAGTTACTCCTCAATTTTACACGGAGTGTTCCAAACAAATCAATCAGCACGTACACAAAGGAAGTATCTGATGCTCATTTTAAGGCATTTGACAACAGTCCCCCAAAATTGTTTAAAGTTAATTTAGCTTTTGGTTTTATTTTTTTGGTCTTTGGTTTGGTTTGGGTTTTGTTTGTTTTTTTAACAGGAAAAAAGGATTTAGGAGCAAGAACATTTTTCCACATAACAATTTTCCACATAACAGTTATCAGGACAATCCTACAGCAATGTGTGCTGTTCAAAGTGCTTCAGAGGAGGCAGTGAACAGTGAGAAAAGCATGAGCAAATGTAACCTGGCTCTTGGCACTGTCAGGATAAACTGAAAAATTACAGAACGCTCTGCCAGTTTGTCAACTGGAACACGGTGTAACATGGTAATTAACAAAAAAATAAAATCCAGACTTGAACAGATGCAGAGAAGTATGAGTACTGTTAACAGGGAAGAGAGTCAAAGTTGCAAGAGGAACCTCCAAAAGAAAAATCTGGTGCTTGGAGAAGTAACAAAACAGTAATCCTGAGGGTACCCAGACAAACATATCTACCCATGCCAAGCAGCCACTTACACAAAACATGAATTAACTTATATTTATATTTCAAGCCTGTTGGAAATGACTTCTAAACCTGAAGTTAAAATGATTATTACCAAGTATACTTTCCTACACTCCTGTGGAAACAAAAGACTGAACTACTTAAGGAAGGTCATAATCCTTTCCTTACCTAACCACGTTATGATTGCTTGCAACACATTAGAAAAGTAGTGTTAAATATACAGTGAGAGCCAAGTATGAGACATGCAGGGATCAGTGGTGTCCTGCCACCCAGGGCTTCAGTTCATTCACCAGTTCAATCACCCTCCAGCTTCCAGAACTGGTGGGAATCCCACAGACAGGAAACATGACCATCAATGAACGAGACTAAGCCCCAACTACCACACCTCCTCAAGAGAACAACTGTTTCACCACTACCTGCCAGGCACAGAGGGACACTCAACTGACACATTTTGCTTCTGCCAAAAGTACAACCATGTGATTAGGCTGTGCCTCCCATAACATGATGCCCTGCTGTTCTGTGGCCTATTTCCCTTGCTCACTCATCATCCTTCCCATCATTTTGCCTCCTTGTGTTCTGCTGTGTCATGGCAGCACAAGCAATGGCAAACTAATGAAGCTTAACTGTCATTTTTTCCCCTCAGGTGTCAAAATCACAATCTAAACAGGCATAAGCTATTTCAGCAATGGAGACTGTAGGCTCAATCTTCTCCCTGGTAGGAACAACGTTATCAGTCTCCAGCAGGTCTCCACATGTGCAGGACAAAATTTTATAGTGGCTCCCAATGGAAGTGGGGAAAAAAAAAATCTCTACTTCTACCAGTAGATTTTGCTTCTCCACAGAATCTTCACCAATCTGAAGATATTTGGTCTAATTCTTACACTTTAATCAAACACACATGGTTTTAGATATGTAGCAAGTTTAACTAACCAAGATCCCATCAAATCTGAAATTATGAAAGCCAAGGGAAACTGAGTAACACTAAAACCTTCTCTGAAACCTGCAGGTTCCTGAAGAAAACCACACTTTCTCAGGGACACTTGCAACCCTGTACTCTGACACCACAGAGCAACACAAGAGGGTACAGAAGATCCTGCCCTTCTTTAAAACAGTTTATATTACTGTGTTTTAAGCACTGGGATTAATTACAGAGCACTTTAGTCATACCACTGGATGCACTACAATGCTTCTATAAAAAACCTGCTTCTCAATGAAGTGAACAAAAAACTACTCACACCTGTCTCATATAATAAACGATACACATGTAATAATTAGTCCAGAAGTGTGGAGGTTGAGAAACATGTATGATAACAGCTTCCAAAATCTTCTGACTGTATCAGAAAATTGCAACAAATGGGGGAAAAATGGGTATGTTTTATCAACTCTACTACAGGTCTCCTTCTTTTGTAGAGGAATTTGTTTACTGTGGAAATTTAAAAGAAAAAATGATACACAGGACTTGCTGTTCCCTGTAAAGGAGTATCTGATTCTCAGAGTACATTCAAACCTATCATTACAGATCTAATCAACGGCTTGGCTTCTGCAGGATTTTATCCATTACTTGCCTAAACATCTTGAAACAAAGGTCCAACACCCCTGTGCACTGGGGGGCAAATCCAATACAAGCTGAGCAGTAGCAGAGGCACGTCCACGAGAAGCACCTCTGTCAGTACATATTAGCCCTGCTCCACCTCTTCAGTCTTCTGCAAAGGTGGTCATTAACTACCCTCTTGTACAGCCACCATAACCATGGAAACAATGGAGCCAAAGGAAAACAGCCACCTGCTCAGAACTACCGGTGTCATAAACCAGACCTTATCACCCCAACATTTTTATGACTGACTTGTTAGTAAGTCAAACATATTCTTTGCCAAGTGACAGCCACTGATAACAAGATGCTGGGGGATGGGGGAAGCACCTGAGGTTTTCTTCATTTATGCTGAAGCACAAAACCCTCCAGCTTCACCAGCTCCTCATACTGGGTACACAACCTCTCAATACAAAAGCAATTCCTGATAAAAGGAACTGAAAGGTCTTCTCCTCAAAATCTTAATCCTAAATTAACTACACAACCACAGATTAGAATCCCACCCATAAACAAGCATCTTACCCAAAGAGAAAACATTTATCAGCATACCCACAAAGCTGTTGGAGAAAGGTTTCCAGTTGAATAATGAGCACAATTTTACTTACAATACAAAAGTCTGGGCTGATATTTCAACAAGATAAAATAATATTATGCACATACCTTGGCCTCCCACAGTAAAGCCACAATCCAGCCCTGAAAGTTTAAGCCTGATGTATAATCTTAAGAACTCTGGTAGTAAAAAAGCAAGGGGACAACATATCTCTATCTCCTCCAACAGAAAACTAACTCTGTAGAAAAACAAAGCCATCTATGCCTGCCAAGAGAAAAAATGTTTTATATTCTAAGTGCAGCTTTACCTATCTGGAAGTTTCCACAAGGAGGTGAAAAGCTGAGGGCCCATTCAAGACAAAACACAAGTCTGAGATTACATTTCAAAAAGAGGGATTACTGCAGTAATGACAACTCACCCAGAGCCGCTTACACTGCATGATGGAGAAAGTGGTGTTATGCAGACTCAAAACTGTAGTTTAAGTGTTAAAGTTCCAGCCTGTCAGTTGATTGTGGCTGTTGACTTATTATGCTCCTGTCAGATCATGCCACCACCAGAGCAGGAAATCCCAAAAGTATAAACCGTGGAAGGAGAGGGGAATATTCTGGAGAATGACTCGCCCTAGATTTATATCCTTCCCCAAGCACTTGCTGTTGGTTAAGAAATAACACAATAAACGGATATTTGGTCTGATCAGATTTGTATATTCTATTGGAAAAAGGCATTTGATTGTGACTCCAAACAACTGCCTAAGATACTACGAAACTAAACCGATGCCCATGCAATTTTTTTTAAAGTTCCTTCATTCTGCTACTATGATTAAAATGCTGGCTCCTCACTGCAAACACTGCTGACTCCCCTCCAGCCACTGCTGAGTACCAGGAGGGACACACACGCACAGCTTGTAAAGCATAAGGGGTTTGGACAGTGGTCACCACCATACTGAGAGCTACCTACAAGGGGTTTTTAAAATCCCAAGGTACTTGGCCTGGGATTGGGGTTTTAATGTCAAAGACTAAGAATAAGCCTTACTCTAAAATGTAAAGGGGAAGTTTACAAGCGTTGAGAAGCACATGTTTGATAAACCATTTACCAGCAGCCAAGCTACAGGATTTGTACAAAGGGCACAGCTGATAAGGACTCCTACTAGGTCACAAAATAATGACTGCCTCTCCAACAGAGACAGATGGGAAACTAAGTATTTGTTGCTTCTCAAACTGCAGAATCAAAAAAAAATAAAAAAAAAAGAGGAACTACAATGTCCCTGTGTAAGGAAATACAGAAATGGGAGATGTACAACAAATTTAGAGGAAAGACTAAAAACCTTCCCAATATAGGATGCAAAACAAGAAACAGCAGACCCTATCAAAGGAATAGCCACTATCTGATAGTTCTACCAAAATTTGTGCTTGTAGCAGAAACCATCTGGCCCAAATAAAGGCTGATGCATTGAATAAGAGCTTGTTGGGGTAAAACTACAGTTTTGCAACCTCTAATTGAGGCATCACATAGTGCCTGAGTCTCCCTAATGGAGATGCTACAGTGTCAGATTGTTTGTTTTACAAAGCATCTCATTATATAGTGAACAACCCCTCCTCATCATTTCCAACATATACAGAATCTACTTCAACCTCACTGCTGAAATAACTATCCCTTGCCACCACACACTGGTTCATCATTACTCCAGCAGGAACAAGAGCTAGAAAATCTCTCAGTGGTGTGCTTCACTTCCAAAAGAGGAACTACTTCAGTGAGAAAGCTGGTTGAAATAAGAACAGAAAAAGAACTTGTTGAGTAAAGATGGGATGGAGATGACTTGATGGTCATCACAGTCAAATCAAATGAACCTTAGGAGAACCCAAAAGGTAGAATTCTTAAATATTTCTGAAGAGTAGCAGAACCACTATCTTAACTCTCCATTAAGACTTCAGTAGCAGCAGCAGAACATCAGAAAAAGGAAGCTGTGCTTTAAGTTTAATGCTTTCTATTCCCCTTATCTAAGGGCAATAAAGCAGACTGAGCTCTTTAAGTTTCTAAGCTGTTGCCCAGTATCTATTTCAGCATATCAAAAGCTAAAAGCTGAGTATCCAGTGTGCTGTGAGAACGTGATGAACACAGGAGAAAAAAAAAGTCTTCCCACGTGTCCACCATAGATGAT